TTCTCCTTAACTGTGGCTTACTTTTTAAATTTCTGTCTCTCCCCGCCCCACCACATACATACTTCATTTCTTCCTTTCAAGAGAGATAGGGTGAGCATGTGGGCATCCTCAATGAGGTCTTGAAACTAAGATCCACTTTTGGGTTTAGCCAACCCTGCATCAATTGTTAGTACATGCCTGGTGAGCTTGGGGAGGCCTCTGGACATGGAACCAGAACCTTCCCATGTGGTTCTGCCTCATGGAGTGGCCTATTTTGCCATCCAGACACTATTCCTCTCCCCTCTTTTTTAGTTTTTTAATCTTTAGAAGAAAAGAAGTTTTAATCTGACGAAGCCCAATTTATTAATTTTTCTTTGTGGCTAGTGCTTTCTGAAACTTGTCCAAAATATCTTTGCCTACTCTAAAATCTTACAGATTTTCTCCTAGATGTTTTATAGTTTTATTTTTTTATGCTTAAGACTAAGATCCATTTGGAGATTACATATAGTGTGAGACAGGGTAGTGGTGGAAATGTATTGTTTTATTTCCCATGTAGACAGCAGTTGTACCAGCAACTGTGGAGAAGACTATCCTTTAAGGCCATCTTTTTTTATTTTTAGTTTAGTTTAGTTTTGTTATAGGGTGTGTGCTTACTAGAGGGGGAGAGGAAGAGAGAGAGAAAAAAAAAAATCACCCCTCGGGGGGATGGTCATACCACATAATCCCTTCTCTATTCTCTTTAGATTTTGGGCATACAAGCAAATGCTCCTAGCATACTTTTCTAGCTGCTAGGTCTTGAACTGCACAGTTGACCATGTGGGATCTAGCTGCCTTAACCGCTATGTCACCTACTAGCCTGGCAATGTACTTTTTGAAAGTTCCCTAGTTTTTTTTTCCATTTTATTTAAGAGTGAAATTTGCTGTAGGGCACATGCACTCGCTGGAGAGACAGAGAGAAAGAGAAAGTGAAAAATCAGCCCCCAGGAAGGATGGCCATGCCATAATCCCTTCTCTTCCATTCTCCTCTTGGGATCTTGGGCACATACACCTGGCATGAGTTTTAAGCTGCCAGGTCCAGGACTCGAACTGCTGTCAACTATGTTGAAGTCCAGCAAAGTAACCATTACACCATCTGCTGTCCCCCTAGATGTTTCTAAAGAACTGCATTACCCCCTCTTAGTTCTGAAGTGGCCACAGTTTGAGGGGATCCTCCCAGAGCCCAGCCCCTCCCCCCTTTTTATTCTTTGTAGAGGTTTTTTCCTATAGGGCACGCACACTCACCAGAAAGACAGAGAGAGACAGAGAAACAGAAAGTGAGAAATCACCCCCGGGGGGGATGGCCACGCCACAATCCCTTCTCCTCCATTCTCCTCTCGGGATCTTGGGCACATATGCACACGCACCTGGTGTGAGTTTAAGTCACTGGGTCTGGGACTCGAACCACAGTCGACTACATGGGAGTCCAATGACATAGCCATTATGCTAACTGCTGGTCCCGGCCCAGCCCTTCTGATGACACTACTCTTCCTCAAGTCCAGCTCTCCCAAACAAGTAACTTTAGGCCTGGGCAGCCTTGAGAGATCACCTTGGTTATTTCTTAGTTTTTGTTTTGATTAAAGTCATCTGTGGACATAATTTAACACTTCAGCATACTATGAAGGTTGCTAGATAAAACCTCCATCCCCTTTTCTATATCCCTCATATTCCTTTACTTTTGACAGAATTTTAATGGATGGAGCCATCATTGAGAACTACTGCTCCACTCCCTCTGCACCCTGGTCCAAACCTCTACCTCCAGACCCATTCCACACACGTTCTCCGTACAGCAGGAGGGTCACACACTCTTGAGGGGTGTATGCATACTTGTCTAGTGTGATTCTCAAGCAGCTGGGTCTGGGACTCAGACCGTGAAGCTGGCCATGTGGGACCTAGCACCTTAACATCCACGCCACCTGCAGGCCCCAGACGCCTGCTTTGTGTGCACAATCCACACACACCCGTATGGCTAACAAAACCGTATGTTTCGAGAGCTTTAACAATAACATTAGTAACTGTCTTAGAAAAAGCAGAACATCTGGAGAACACTCCACCCTGTTACTATGCCAAAGAACGAAAATTAAAAACAATGAAGTAACAGTTTAAAACTAAAATAAATTTGTCAGAAATCAAAAGAAATAAAAACAGCCCCATACTGATGAAAGTCTGAGGAAAAGCGTACTGGACAGCTAGGGCCCATACCGATGGGTGTGATCTTCCGGAACTACTCCTCAATCTAGGAATATGTGCCAAGTCCCCGGAGTGTTTAGAACCTCTGACTCAATACTCCTATACTTGGAAATGAGCCTTTGGGAAATTATGACAAATTTTAAAACTACATACATAATGATTCTCCCCTGGTCCAACTGGTGGTGTGGCGGTTAAGGCACTGGATCCCACATGGACAGCTTTGTGGTTTGAGTCCAGGACCTAGCAGCTTGAGAATCATGCTGGGTAAGTGTGTGTGTGTGTGTGTGTGTGTGTGTGTGTGTGTGTGCCCCCAAAATCCTGAGAGGAGAGTAGTGGAGAAATGATTGTAGCATGGCAACCCCACCCCCAATGGGGTCTTCGCCCTTTCTCTGTCTAAAAAAAAAAAAAAAAAAAAAAAAAAAAGATTCTTTACTTAGAGCTATTTATGTACAATAAGAAATAAATGGAAATACCCCAAATGGAAATGCCCCCAAAAGTGAGAAATAGGGACCTTATGGCACTTTTACATGTGAAAATGATATAGCCTTTTGATATATTAAAAATAACAAATGTGTGAGGATGACAGTTGGTGTGGTGGTTGAGGAGCTGGTCTCCCACACAGCCGACTGTGGTTCAGGTCCTGGACCTAGACGCTGGCTTTCCTAACTTTCTCTCTCTCTCTGTTTCTCTCTGGTCAAATTAAACAAATATGATGATAAATGAAATAAAATAATTCTTAAAAAAATGACAAATGTGAAGTCTATATAGCACCTCCCAAATATTCATGACATAATATGAAGACTGAATAAATGCTGGTTGAATGTGGGATGGTAAATTTATGAATATGTTGTTGTTTGATTATATCGTGTCTGTACCTCTGAGGAGGGGAATTTCAACTAATGAACAATGCACATAAGCAGGACTGGTCTGAATCCGTGGGTCTGACTGCCTGGGCCTGGCGGGTCACACTGGCACTGTGTTTGAATCAATGGTTCCACCTGCAGACATGGTACCCGCCATTCCATGAGACCCCGTCACGCCACAAGGAAACCAGCAGCCTGATAGCTGGTGGAAGCAGGAATAGACTTCTTCCTGTGGTAGCCCTGCTTCTCCCCCCACCACCCCTCCTATTTCAACCACCATCCCCTCAAGGATAAACTCTGCTGTAGCCTGGCGCTCCTTCTTTCCTTCTGTTTCTCCAGCAGCTCTCAGAAGCACCTCAGAATCCCACTCCTGCCATGAGATTTTAATGAGGGGGATGCACTCAGCAATTAGAAAGAGGAAAGGACTGATTAGGGTTCCTGTGCATCAGCGTTTAACCCACATCCCATGCAGCCCTCCAAGCACTAACCTCATTCCCCATCCACACTCAATTAGGCATATTTACTTCTCATTATCCAGTATGCAATCATGAGTGCTAATAAAAACCTTTGCTACCCCCAACAAGGCAATTAATGCCATTAGCTGTCTCTCAGGAACTCTTCAATAATTTGGTGCCAACAACAGTCCACTCATCCATCCATTTACAGGTGCATTTGTGCATGTATGCCCTTTTCTATCTAGCGAAGGTTAATGTTCACCTACTATGTGCCTCACGGGGGACTAGATGAGGTACAGTCACTGTTCTAGGACAACTTGCAACAACAGGTAAATGATTATACTACACAGTGATGAGGGCACAGCAGTGGCGTGACCAGGGTGCTACTGAAAACCAGAGGAGGAAGTGGTGGGGAGGCACGACTCCATTCCCAGGGCCAGTTCACATCTTGGGGAGTCAATCACTACCCCTCAGTCCCACTTATAAGATGGGGATCATCATGCTACCACCACCCCGGGTCACTGGGAGGATTAAAAAAGATAGTGCCTCTCGAGTCCCCAGCATGGCACATGGCAGTGTGTGCTCAGTAGGCAAAGGCTGGTAGGATTGGGTGCCCTATACCCAGCCTTCAGATTTGCCAGGCATGCCCCACTTCACTCCTTGCCTGAAAGGATAAAGGGAAACCTATGGTTCAGAAAGTTGAACGTGAAACAGAAGAATCCCTCTCCTCTGTGTACACAGACAAATGGGGAAGCAAATTTTAGAAGACAGGAATAGCCTTGGCTAAGGAGGCCAAACACACATCAACTCCCCCAGCTGGGGGATCACTTCCTGGGTTCCTCCACCTGTCAGGAAACATGTTTCTCCTTTCTCTATCAACTCCTCCCTCGGTTCCAGAGACAGATTCTAGGAATCTTTGAGCTGGATCAGGATACTTGGATCCCAGACACACAGTGAAGTGGACTGATGGCAGTGGCCAGTCAGAGACACACATGTGCATGCCAAGCGTTGGTGGACATGCCTAGGGGTTTGCTAGGGCTCTGGCTACTCTAAGTCTGGCCATGACAATGACCCATCTACCTTTGATAGAAAAAAATGTATGTAGATAAATCTACACGTTTAAAAAATAATATATGCATACATGCACAAGCACACACACACAAACGCACACACACAGGATGGGAAACTTCTGGAAAGATACCCGAGTAACTGCTAGCAATTGTTACTTCTGTAAAATTGAGAGGATGGGCTGCGAGAGAAGGAGTTTTACGTTCTATTAAAAACCCTTCTAAACTGTTATTTTTACATAAGCATACATTATCTATCTATATCTACATTGACAGCTCTGTCTAAATCTATGTAAAAACACAATCTGGCTTCGAGAGTCTCTGCTGGTGGTTCTTTCAGACTCAGGGGGGTGGGTGTGGGGGTAGACGTCTGGAGGGTGGTGGGGAAGGAAGGGCGGCCAGGAACTTACTGGTGTTGTGGTCTATGAAGTAATCTCCAACCTGTGGGTCATACGCCTCTTCCCATCCTAGCGGCAACTCATCACTAATGCAGTCAGCAAAGGTGAGCGGTTTGGTGTACCTGGCAAGGGAGAGGAGAGAGAAACTCCATCAGCCTACAATCCTCACACTCCTGCAACTTGTGCTGCCTCAGGGCCTTTTGCTTCTCTGGGCTGGCCCAAGAGATCCAGAAGTTTTGCACTGAAGCACCAGCTCCACTGTTTCCTTTGTTCCTGAGAAGGCCAATGTGTTAAGACCCCCATGGGAGGAAGGCAGAGAATCTATACTGTAGTCTCAGCTTTGCTACTAACTTGGTAGTGATAGCGTGAGTTACCTTCCTTCTCTGGGCCTCTGTTTTGTCATCTCTAACTGGGAGTTGGCAGGCAGCGGCTCTAAGACCAACTCTTGCTTCTTGCCTTGGACTCCAGCCCTCTCTGGCTTCTTCACCTACAACTTGCTTGCCTACTCCACCTCCATCTCCATCTTTATCCTGGCTCTACCTTGTGTGTGTCGTGCCACTTTCCTCTTGGAAAGCTGGCTTATTATAGCATCAGAAAAGCAGATGTGCCATCCCTGTGAGTTTGGCCAATGAGCAGTATCTATTTGCCTCTTGAGCTGGTTCCCAAACGCCTGTGCCCACTGCTGTCCTACCCTAGACAATCCACACCATGCTGATCTTCCAGCAATAACCATTCTCTGAGTCCCCATCTTGTGGGGTAGGGAGTGGTGGTAATCATGAAGTCTTAGTGGGTAAACTCAACAGACAAGTCACGCAGTTAAACTCACAAAGCCTTGTCAAAGGCTGCAAAACTATATCACAAACCATTTGTCAAGTATTTTAGCCAGCATGAGGAGCCAGGAATATAGGCTTATGATTTTCAGTCCAAGGAGCCCCTCTAGACAGCCACTTGGGTTTCTCTCCATTGTTGCCTCAGCCTGAAATAAACATTCTAATCTTCTCCAATTCCTGTCTGTATCCTACCCTCTCCCAGTTCTGGAAGGAAGCTGCAAAGTTTCTGCTTCACACCCTTTTTACAGATTGGCACACAGAGGCACAGTGGAACAAAAAGGAAGATGTATGGAATGGGGTCTAGGATTTCTGATCCAGGACTTCATTCCAAGTCATGAGAAACCACTCTTTCTCTTATCCTATACAATCTTCTCCTGTCTTAAACCCACTCCAAATCCAACTTAAAGAAAAATGCATGGGGTAAAAAAAGAGATGCCGAAAGAACTGGTGGACAGGACCTGGTATGCTCCTGTACCACTGCAGAACCAGGGTCTGGTAGGCTGCGAAAAATACCAGTTGATAACCCAAAAGCTTCTGTTAGCAGCTGGCTACTGCACTGTGGGAAACAACTGGCTCTGAGGATGAGCCCAGAGTACATAAGGTATGCAACAGACCAAGCACCATCAATAAGGACTAATGAAGGGGAACCAGCAGTTAGCGTAATGGCTATGTCGCTGGACTCCCACGTAGTCGACCAAGGTTCGCATTCCGGACCCGCTGGCTTAAAACTCGTGCCGGGCGTGTGTGCGTGCGTGCCCAAGGTCCCGAGAGGAGAATGGAGGAGAAGGGATTGCAGCATGACCATCCCCCCTGGGGGGTGATTTCTCACTTTCTGTCTCTATGTCTCTGTCTATCTGGCAAGCACACGCGCTATATAGCAAAAATCTCCCCCCCCAAAAAAAAAAAAATAAAATAAGGACTCATGAAGCACACTCATTAGCTGTGCAAGTTGGGCAATGACTTACCCTCTCTGAGTCACAATATTTTTATCTGTAAAATGGGGGCACTAGTAATTCCAGGTTGACAATTAGGTTACAAGTATATTTAGCACAGATGCTGGTGTGAATGGGCACTCAAAAAAGCTTCGTATTCTCCACTTCTCCAGAAGTGGATACCAAGGCTAAGAAAGACTAAATAACATTTTTTTTAGAAAGTTTTTTGCTATAGGGCCCATGTGCTTGCTGGAAAGACAGAGAGAAACAGAGAGATAGAAAGCAAGAAATAACCTCCCTGTAGGGATGGCCATGCTACAATTCTTTCTCCTCAATTCTTCTTTCGGGATTTTGGGCACACATGCACACATGCTCAGCCTAATTTTAAGCCGCTGAGTCCGAGACTAGAACCGTAGTCAACTATGTGGGAGTCCAGTAACATAACCATTACACTATCTGCTGGCTCCCAAATAACATTCTCAATGTCAATGACAAAGTGAGGGTTTTCAGCAAGGTGGCATATCTCCAAGCCAGTAGGTCTCTTGGAAGCTGACATGGTCAGCACATCTCCTGAGACCCACTCTTCATAGAGAATCAAGACCAGGGACCAAAGGTCACATTTCATCCAACATTGGCTTAGCCATTCACTTTTGAAAACTCCACACCCAGGTGTACCCCTCCAGGATGAGTTACTCTGTTACGCTCACAGCTAGCTCTGTGAAAGGACAGGAATGCTCAGGCCACCAGGAAACCTCTGTTCCTGGCTCACTCCCCTGCCTGCACTCTGCCCTGGGGAGGCCTGCCCTGCCAACAGAGAGCTTATCATCTATGGTTTACAACCCAGAGAGCCAGGGAGGTGGCCCTTCTTGAAAGCTCTCCTGAGTCTGCACATTTATCAACAACCCCTTCTGAAATTCTTCCCTGAAATAAATGAAATTACTCTAATCAATGATGTATCCAAGGGGCAGAATCCTATGCCCAGCACAAACGGTGGTCAATACACAGTTGTGGAATGGGTGAATAAAATAGGGAATGTATAAGAATGCATAAAAAAGATGTATTTATGTTCTGTGTGTATTTTCTGTATTTTGCTAACATAGAAGAATGTTCTCAATATGCTGTGAGGAAAACAACACAAAAAATATTGCTATAGGACAATATATCTTGCCAGAGAGATACAGAGAGAGAGAGAGAGAGAGAGGGCAAGAAAGCACTCCCCAGGGGGGATGGCCACACCACAATCTCTTCTCCATTTTCCTCTTGGGATTTTGGGCACACACACGCACTTAGCATGCTTTTTAAACTGTCAGGCCCGGGACTCGAATCATTCTGTCAGTCACGTAAGATCCACCTGCCTTAACCACCATACAACTGGCTAGCCCAGAAAAACCAACATTTTCACCAGATAAAAGCTACAGGATACTAGTATATTTTTAAGCAAAAGCTTGAAGTTTTCAAAAGTTTATTTCCTCCATGAAAGAGAGAAAGGAGTATCCCTACAGGGTCTCGCCATGCCCAAGAGCCTACCAACTTTCCAGCTGGCCAGGATCACTGAGGCGCTTGATATGTTCAAGTTGACCTGGGATCCAAACCCAGGCCTCCCACATGGTTCCAGCATTGCACACTGTGTCCTACACCCTGCGCCACTACTATTAGATCAGGAAGATATTTTCCCTAAAATGTGCATGTGTGTGTGTGTGTCTGTGTGTGTATAAACAGAAAATGGGTAGCGTTACAATATTATCTGGGTATAGAAATTTCAATGTAATTTTGAATCTTGTCTTTTCTTCCGTTTGTGTGTGTACCGATTTCCCTGTAAGGTTCATGTGCTAATTATAATTAAAAATATTTAATAATGGTAAAAATCTAGGTCTAAAAAGCCAGTATGTCTGTCATGTTTTTTTTCCCGGTAAAAGGTGCTCTTACTGGGCCAGCAGGTGGCATGGTGGTTAAGGTACTGGCTCCCACATGACCAGCTGCACAGTTCGATTCCCAGGCCCAGCTTGAAAAACACACCAGGTGCATGTGCATACATGCCCAAAATCTCAAGTGGAGAGTGGAAGAGAAGTAGCCATAATGTGGCCATCTCTCCAGGAGATGATTTCCCTCTCTCTGTGTCTCTCTCTGGTGAGCACACAAGCTCTATAGCAATAAATAAATAAATAAATAAAATGTTCTTCCTCCATTTTACAAAGAGAACATGTGCTCAACATCACAGTTAATAAACACTGAAGTTATAACCTAAAGCTCTATTGCCAGATTCTAAAATGTGAGCTCTGCTAATAAAAATGAACAAAACCAAGTGAGTCTCAGAATAATCTGGCTCACAGAGCAAATGGTATAAGAGGTAAAGATGATAAAACTGGACAGAGGGGCTAAAGTACAGGGGCTTTGGATGTGTGGGACCTTTGATGATCTATGCTTTGGTTCAAAGATGTTAGTTAAATTTAGAAAAATCCATCACTGCTTAATGAAGAGGCAATGAATAATTTGCCAGAGGGCACAGAGACAGAGTGGGAGAAAGACCCCCCCCAATGGGTTGTGGTCACACCACAATTCCTTTCCATTTCCCCATCCTGTCAGGATTTGGGGCATGCACATATGCTCCCTGTGTGTTTCTCAAGCAGCCAGTGCTGGGGCTCGAACCATGCAGTTAGCCGTATTGGATCTGGTTCTCTTAAGCACTAGCCTAAGGGGCTGGTCCGAAAAGGTTCAGCCATCACAGTGACTAGCCAAGCTCTCTAGGTGGGAGGACAGACAAGGGAGGAGGTGGGAAGGACTGAAACACCAAAAAGTGCATCACTTTCATCGCTTTCCCAGAAACTATTAGGCCACGGACTGTTTCTGCCTCATACGTGGACTTGGAGCCGGAATGAACGCTAGCTGCTACTCAGGTACGGACATTCCACCAAGGCCAAGGGGCTGACTCCCACAGACACCATCCCCAACAGCAACAAAGGAAAGTGAAGCAAGAGGACCCAAACTTTGAAGGAGACTCCTTAGGCAAGATGAGAAAGAAAGGCTTTGGGTTTGATATCCAGGTTCCTCTCTGATGCGTTCATGGGGGGAAAGCCTGAGGCCAATATCCTGACTTCGAGAGCTCTTCCATGGGAAAGCAAGCTTCTGTGGGAAGGCTGAACAACTTAACAAGAAATGTGGACAGCAAGATTCTCTCTGGAACAAATGCCAAGAGGTAGATGAATTATTCAGTGTGTGGAGACATGTCATTCAGAGAATGAAGATGAAGAGAAGCGTTTTTAGCTGCACAGGATTTAAACACACGCACGCACACGTATATACATGCACACACTCACTCTCCCTGCCTGTGAGAGAGGAATCGTCCTTTGAAACCAGTTCTCCTTGGGAAACCGGGTGATTCTCTGGCCTGCAACGTTTCACTTTGGGCAAGTGCCAAGAATGTGAGCTGGAAGAGCTGTCCACTTTCAGATGTGGCCAGGCCGTGGGGGCCTGCCTGGAGCTTCCAGCCTCTGCCCTCCAAAGAAGTGATTCACCCAATCCAATCTGCTCCAGCCCCTACATCCCAGCTGCTGAAAACCCCAAACATGAAACCAAGTGACCCAGATGATGGAGGGGCGAGAGGGAGGGAGGGGGCAAAGCAAGAACTGGTTCTGCCTCTTAATTACAAAGCTCTGAAGGTGCACGCACATTCCTGAATGTTTCACAACAGGCTCTCCTGGAAAAACAGCCCGGATATGTTGCCTTGGAGACAGATAGGTTCTGCCAGGAGCACCCTCCACGGA